CAACAGTCTCAACACCAACTTTCTGCCTTCTTGTCAAAACCCTTGACTCCCTAAAGAGGCCAAGAATTAGTTATCACATCTTAAGTTTATCTAAAAACTGAGGATTCACAACTCACCGAAGTAGAGAATTAATAGTCATAAAGTCATAGAGTTACACAGCATTGAAACAGACCCTTTGGTTCAACCAGTCCATACTGAACATAATCCCAAACTAAACTTGTCCCACCTGCCCGCTCCTGGCCTATATTCCTCCAAACCTTTCCTATTCATACATCCATCCAAATGTCTCTTAAATATTGTAATTGTACCCACATCCACCACTTCATCAGGAAATTCATTCCACATGTGAACCACCCACTGTGTAAAAACTTTGCCCCTCATGTCTTTTTTAATTCTCTCTCTTCTCACCCTAAAAATGTGCCCGCCAGTCTTGAAATCCCCCATCCTATGTAAAAGACAACTACTATTAACCCTATCTACAACCCTCATTATTTTAAAAACTTCTATAAGTTTGCCTCTCAATCTCCTACGCTCTCCTCATCTCAGCTTTCACCAATATTTTGCATTAGCTCATATTTTTTGAGCTGTGAGTGATACTGGCTTTGGGAACATCAAATGAAAGCATTTACTCAAACTTGGTTGTGCATAATAGCATGCTGTTTCAACTCAAAATCGATATTTTCTAAATATTACACTCATTGTCGGCTGAGTTGGGAGTACCACAGAGATCAGTAGGGTCCTCAGCTGTTTGTAACCTCATGTGACTTAAATGAAGACACTGACAGTATTAAATATAAGTTTGCAGATGATACAAAGATGGGAAAGCAAGCTGCAACACAAGCAGAGCAAGCAACTTATATAATTGGCTCCTTAACCTGAGACTGTGTTCCAATGTGTTAAATTCCCCAGACAGGAGCAACAACCTCCCAATATCTACCCAATCAAGTCAGTTCTTGTATGTTTCAATGATTTCAGTTTTGTAAACTCCAGAGATTACAGACGCAATGTTGTCTGTCCCTGATTATTGAACAACAATCGGATTCCATTAATGAAACTGATGAAGCTTTGCTGCATTGCCTCCAGCATAGGCATATCCTACCTTAAATACGGACACAGAAACTGTGCCCAGTGATCATGGTGTAGTCTCACCAAAACCCTATACAATTGCAACAAGACTAATTTATAACAGCACTCTGTACCTTTGCAAAGAAAGTAGCATATCATTTGCCTTCCCAATTGCCTGCTGTACCTGCATGCTGCTTTTCTGGGCCCCTTCTATGAGTACAGCCACATCAAATTGACAAGTTTCACAACTTTTCAAAAAAGCTTCTGCTTTCCTGCCAAGTGAATGACCTCACACCGTATTCTGTCACTTTGTGGCTCGCTCTGCTTGTGTTGCAAACCTACTTTCCCATCTATCTTTGTATCATCTGCAAACATATATATATAATACTCTCAGTGTCTTCACTTAAGTCACATGAGGTTATAAACAGCTGAAGACCCCTACTGATCTTTGTAGTACTCCCAACTCATCAGACAATGGGTGTAATATTTAGAAAATGTCGATTTTGAGTTGAAACAGCATGCTATTATGCACAACCAGGTTTGAGTAAATGCTTTCAATTGATGTTCCCAAAGCCAGTATCACTCACAGCTCAGAAAATATGAGCTAATGCAAAATGTTGGTGGAAAAATGAATTTTATTGGCTTTGATAAAATTACAATCACAGTCTCACAAAGATTGCATTCAATCATCAAGAAATGAAATAAAAAGAGGATGTGGGAATTTATGATAAAATATAATGCTTTGTCCAAGTCTCTGGCTGGTTGTTAATCTTGTCAGGACAAGGAACAATGTGTACATGCTGGAAGACCATTAAATTCCTTAGTGCTGACTTCTACAGAGTTTCCAATTTGGAGCAAAATATGAATTCTGCCTTCGAGTTAAAGGAAAACTACTGTGCCCTGCCACATACATTGGCCCTGAGGTTCTGATCCATGTCAGAAATCTAGAGGTGAGTTTTACCAAAAATTAAATGTTGATTTTGATGAGTTTCATGGAAGGTTTCTCTCTGTGAACTTTAGCAATTCTCTGCAGCTCACCTCATTAGGTATACACCAGCTCATGCTATTGTGCACTCTCCAGTGCTGGAAGCCCTTGCCATATCTGGGACCTCCTGGGGTTCTTGGCACCATGTATAAAGACCAGTTATGGACTAGGTCCAGTGCTGCCAGTCAGGACCTGCCCTTCACAGTGCATGCAGTTGAAGGAGAACAATAAAGAAAGGATTCTGAGGGTGACACTTAATTACAAATACAAGTTCACATCAGTAAATGTATTGCTAGTTTACATCATCACCTGTTTGACTGACTGTTGTTCTCACAACAGCTACAATAATCAAGTTACACAGGTTACCAGTCCTTAGCACCAGCCCAACTCGGAACTCTACCGAAGGGCATGCTACTCTTTCCCTAATGCCTCGCCTAGCCTAACATGTTCTCATTGTTCAACATGGCAAAGCCTTCGAATAGTTGAAAACATTCACTTTTATTCAACAACATCAACGCAAAGGAAAACAAAGGCAAGCTGCATTCACTTATGGAAAGTAGTCTGGTTCTGTCTGGCTTACTGCAACTGACACTGCTATACTCTGATATGCTGAAGGTGATTGTTATGCTGAAGGTAATGTCCCCTCTTGCTCAAGATCCACGTCTTCTGCCCAATCAATGGAACCTCATCTTCAAGAGACCTATTGTCTCCCCTGGCTGAAGAATGCAATGTATGTACACTCAGGCTCAGTCTGGGGCTCGTGTAATGGAGTCATCAGCCATAGTTGCAGAGGGTGGCTCTGGTTTCCCAGCAGCCATCCTTGTAAGGCATCCAGCTCTTGAAGTTAAGCAGTAACAGCCTTATTTGCATGAGTATTAGCCTTGGTATATTGGAGGATCGAGAGATCTCATACTGGTTCCCAGTGGACCCTTGGAAGCAGCCAGTTGCATAAAAATTTGATGTAACTGACACCTTTGACAGCCATTGGGATAGGATGGGCAACCCATTCCACTTGCAGCTGTAACTGCAATGAAAGGTGTGTTCCAAAGTGCAGCACTGATTTGCAGGAATATTCTCTAAGCGGATCAGAGATGTGTCATGATGATGCAATGAGGCTGGTGCACGTTCAGTTCCAATCTCTGTGGACACGGGACACGGGACACGGGACACGGGACACGGGACACGGGACA